CGGCCAATGCAAACAAACGAAGGCGGCAGAAAAAAGCATGAATTGATGGGCGAGGTATGAATGAAAGAACGAGCGAATGAATGCATGAATGAGAATGGGACATACCTTATCCCAAGCTTGGTCGAGTCGAGTCAACTAGTACTAGACTCCATCGACAGACGGAGCCGCGCGACACGGGGAAATACCGAGAAACTCCCCACCGGCCGATACATTCTCTTACCGATCAGAGAACTGACTTTGCGGCTGGAACGGAGGAAAACTGTATGCTAAAGTACCGCGCAGTACGGAGATGGCCAGTAACCAAACCGAGAAACCAGGGAAATAGTCATCAACAGAGAAGGGAGTTGTGCATGAGTGAGAGGTAATCTATCTGTGAACCATGGCCACCATAAACCATGGAGCATTCTCACTTTCCAATCAAGCCGTTCAATTCAAATTGCAAGTTTCTTTTTAGCTCCTCCACTTCTGATGATCTCCAAATGATTTCCATCCATGGAGATCGCCTTGACTTCTCGACAGTACTCCATACCCGGTTTCAACTTTCAAATCAAAAGTCTTTCCCTCCGAAAAGGCATCAGTCCATCATCCATCTCGGCCCCCCTCTCTTGCCTCTCTTCCCCCCCCCCTCCCCCTCCTCTCCCTTTTTCTCTTTCTTGGTTGCCCCATTTCTCTCTTTCTCTCTTTTCCTCTCCAATTGTTCAAGTCAATCCTGTCCGCTTATTGGGCACAAGTGTAACCCACCAGAAAGAGCTTGTCCTACTCGTCCAGCCATGCCCAGTGCACGCCCAGTGCCCCGTCAACTTCATCCACTCCAGCTCCAGCCTCCATCCTTCCTTTTCCCCATACGGACAGGGGCGAACCCGCCTTGTCGGAACGAGCGATCCGGTACAGTGGAAATGTTACGCAACTTACGCCGCATACGCAGCGGGCGGGTCATTATCCAGCCCGTAATTTCGCCCTTCCCGGCAGAGGGGGACCACTTAGAAATCGTGACTACACTGGCTGTGTGTGTGGCGAAGGCAAGTACGAAAGTATATATAGTCTAGATGGATTTAAATAGCAGTAGCTAGCTAATATGAGGAACACGGGATGCGATGTGGCCAGTAGCGCTTCACCAGATTGTGGAAATGGAGCATAATTTACTGCTGAACTTTTCTGTTCGGGCGTTGAATTCGGTTCGGCTGGGCGTTTAGTAACTCGAGTCCTCCCCATCCTCGCTTACTAGTGCTTTCTGCCCAGCGCTTACCCTCCCTATTCAACCGTCAACTACTATCTAGATAGTCTCTTGCTTGCCGATCTCATGTCCCAACTCTCAACGTCGTTAGTTGCTATTATACTTTTGGTTTCGGAACCCGCTCATAATAGCTCGTTTTGGCCAGACTTTGACCATCAGGCACGCCACACTGCTTGTTCGGATGACAGCCTCATTTCTCATATTCCGAAAAAAGCCACCCAAAGCTCAGAGCTCTAGACGTACTGTGATACATCCGACTGTCGGGGGTCTTGTGATGCGTCCCAGATCCGCCCCAGTGTTCAGCTGCCATCGACGCTTTGACGACACCCCCGATAGTAAAAGAGGCATGCTTTGGGAGGAGATCCGCTTGGAGACAGTTTCAGGCCGCCATGCTTTTGCCTCGGACGGCGAGTGACCAGTGCCCGGGTTCCAACTCCACAGACCGAGATATGATGGTACAGTGTACGGTGTAGTATTTTGCTCCCTCGCACACCCAGAGCCAAAACCCACTCGAAACCCGTACTCTAGTAGGCAAAAAGAGACATCCCGGATGGAGTCCCACCAAATACCACCAAAAACCGGATTGGTCTGTCATTGGTCGCATGAACCAGTAGGCAGGATTATTGACGATCAGGCCATCACTTGACGGATATCATGTAGATAGTGGGTGCGGAGTAGCTACTGCTAGACCACTGACACTGAAAGACAGCACCACAACAGTGACTCGCTACCGGCATCCGCAACTATCTTGTATGGGCTCATGTGATCGGGCAATTTACTCCGTAGATACGCTCCATATTGGATGGAGACCACAATGGCTCCATTTTGCGCCCAGCTATCATCACTGCACCAATGCGTGCGGGTTGACCACACCATCCAAGTAATAATATCTCATTGGGGCCATACATCTGATAAGCAACACAGTCCACAGTAAGTAGTGTCTTAGGTAAAGCGGTAGCCAGTCTTACCTACAGTGTCGCAAGGTTAGCCTTAGAAGTGCGAGAGGAATGCGGTTGCTTAGCGCTATACTTGGGGGTTATATTGCTGCATGCTGTCGCTAATTTGGCAGGAGCTCCATATTAAGTGTGAACCATAAACCTGCGTTTCTTTTTTGACCCAAAAACTGGGCGCCTTCCTTTTGTAGCCTCGTATCCGTAGTACTCTGTACTACCTTGCCCACTTAAACCCCTTCAGCCGTTCAGCTAGCCTCCTGCTCCTGTCGCTGCCTTATAGATGCCTTGTATAGGCCTTAGGCACAAAAGGCAGTATACTGCTTACTAAGATGGCCACTCAGGGGCAATTCCCAAAGCGGACTAGTGCCTTCCGCAGATTTCCGTTGTATCCCCGACGGCCTGAGGAAGCGCCTCCTCTATGGTGAGCCACACGGTCGCTCTTTGTATAGAGGAGAGAAGAACTTGTTGCTTTTTCTCAGTCACACAAACCCACAGAATCGACCTTGCTGTGTTGTAGCAGTGCTTGCCAGACTTTTGCGATTGTTGTGCTCTGTTGTTTCAGTGGTTCAGCGAATTTTTCCTTCGGAGCCTCGGACCCGTGATCCCTGCTCGATATTTTGAAGCTCACGCCACTTCTCCCTCAGCCATTTATAGCGGTTTGCACCACAACTGATCGCTAACCGTCCAACTACGACTCTCGCATTACACCCCTTACCTCCAGAATTTCGTCTCTTTCTTCCGTCCCTCGATTTCGCAACACGGTACTGGCTCTTTAGGCTTTTGCCTTGCGACGACCATGCCTGGCAGAACCCTTCCAACTTTCACCCCGGCCGAGGTCGAGTCTCACAATGATGCCAACTCGTGCTATGTGACCCTGGGATCAAAGGTCTATGACGTTACTGACTTTGTCGCCGGTCATCCCGGTGGTGAAGAGTTGGTCCTCGAATATGCTGGCAAAGATGTGACGGAGATACTGCGCGATCCGGCATCCCACGCCCATTCGGATTCGGCATACGAAATTCTGGACGAATGTCTTGTTGGGTTTGTCTCGTCGGAACCCAACGGAAAGGCAGCAAACGGGTGCACTCCTCAATCAAAAGAACAGCAGGCGGTGTTTGCAACAACTGGCTTGTCTTGCGAAGAGGACCTTTCGGTAGAGACCGATCCTACCAAGGATTATCAGACACATAAGTTTTTGGATCTCAACAAGCCTCTCCTTCTCCAGCTGTGGAACAGCGGGTTCACCAAGGAGTTCTACCTGGACCAGATCCATCGCCCGCGTCATTACAAGGGTGGGGAGTCCGCGCCGCTCTTTGGAAACTTCCTTGAACCTTTGAGCAAGACAGCTTGGTATGTTGTTCCTATCATGTGGCTTCCTCCAGTCACATATGGGACTATCGTTGGTTTCTCTGGACTGGCGAATGTGCCGGCTGCCGCTGCTTATTGGGTCGGTGGTCTTTTCCTCTGGACCTTGATAGAGTATGTCATGCATAGGTTCTTGTTTCACATCGATAAGTATGACGCTCTGCCCCATTCATCTCTCTAATTGCTGGTGCTAATGCTTCGTAGGTGGCTTCCTGATAACCGCGTTGGTCTTACCCTTCACTTCCTGCTACATGGAATCCATCATTACCTACCCATGGACAAGTATCGGTTGGTCATGCCACCGACTCTATTTGTCGTCTTGGCCGCCCCATTTTGGAAGTTAGCGCACACGGTGTTCTTCTACAACTGGTATGCCGCTGTGACGGTCTTCTGTGGAGGTGTCTTCGGCTATGTCTGTTATGACATGACTCACTACTTCCTCCACCACCGCAAGTGAGTAAATCTATTCTCCAAGCTCTTCGTTTAATATTTGCTAACCGCTGATGTTCATCTATAGCCTCCCTTCCTACTACAAGGCGCTCAAGAAGTACCACCTCCAGCATCATTTCGCGGACTTCGACAATGGCTTTGGCGTCACTAGTCGCTTTTGGGACCGCGTCTTCGGCACTGAGCTTGAGATGCCGTCTCCCAAGAAGACCCAATGAACATACGTGACATCCTGATGCTTCATACTCTGGTTTCTCGGTGTTCCCCCATTATTTGCTCTCTATTCATATCTTTAATGTACGAAGTAATGTCGCCGACGCGTGTTTATTCTTACCCACGCTGACAATCCGGAGTTGGGCTTCTTGTGTGAATCTTTTCATGTACATTGATTGTCATGGCCGGATGAAGAAAACTATACGTTATTCTTCCATGATATGTGACCATGACTCTCGTTGCTTTTGTGAAACCATTATCTACTATTGTACAGAGCATATAGCCGCTTATAATATAATAATTCTCCTATCTATACACTATCGATGAAATGAGTTCAAGCCGGGGTACGGTTGAGTGCTAGATGACCCGTGGTTCATAGCCGTGTTAGTCGGCGCGAGAAGAAAAAAATTATGAAAGGACAAAAGATAAGGAGGCAAAGACGCCAAGACCACGTGACGTGTCGGCATCCCACGCCATCGGAACATTGAGGTGGACAGTATCTTCAACATCTCTTCACCTCACTCCTCAGCTGCAGCACCACCCCTGTAGGGAATCCGCTTATCCCGACTCCTAATTATACGGCATCGAGAATATCTATATTACAGTGTTAGAAACAACTTGCCGGCTTCCGGATTTGAAACACAAGGGTTCGCTCAAGTCAAGCTTGATACGCCGTCACTCTCTAACCAAGCCAAAAGTGACCTCAATCCTTTCCGCGCAATCTTCGTTGCATTTGTTTTCTGTTCAGTTTAGCCCAGGAAAAGACAAATTGCAGCATATATACCAAGATGTCAGGTCTCGATGTTGAGGCTCTCCTCGAGTCCACAGCCGCTCCGCCATCTCAAGACCCTTCCCGTTCCCAGGACCGCGATGACCGCTCCTCCTCGAAAACTGACAGCAATGACCGCCGGGACCGCGATCGGTCACGAGAGAAGGACCGCAAGCGCAGGGACCGCAGCCGTGATCGACGTCGCTCGCGAGACATCGATGGAGATGAAGACATGAAGAGCCCGAAAAGCGAACATGGCAGTGCTAACGGAAGCCATAGAAGCAGAAAGAGGAGCAGGAGTCGTGATAGCGAACGCCGTCGGTCTCGTCGTGACCGCTACGGTGACGATTACCGTTCTGGTGGCGACTTCTACCGCGGGGGTGGACGGGCTCGCACTCGCTCTCGGTCGCCTTACGATGATCGCTATTACCGCCCCTCGGGCCGCTCCCGTCGCGATGAGCGAGATGAAGACAGACGCACTCGCCGTGACCGCAAACGAAGCCCGAGCCCGAGAAGCCGTGAGAGGACGCCGGAACCCACCGAGGATGAGCGTGACAGGCGTACCATTTTCGTTCAGCAGCTTGCTGCGCGGTTGAGAACTAAGGAGCTGATTGCGTTCTTTGAGAAAGTCGGACCTGTCAAGGAAGCCCAGATCGTCAAGGACCGTGTCAGTGGGCGGTCTAAAGGGTGAGTTAATCTCCTTCCCAGATGATAGGAGAGCTGTGTAACTGACTTTCACCAGTGTCGGTTATGTCGAGTTCAAAAGCGAAGACGCCGTTGCACCCGCTATCCAGCTTACCGGACAGAAACTTCTAGGAATTCCCATTATCGCTCAATTGACTGAAGCGGAAAAGAACCGCCAGGCCCGCAATCCTGAGGCCAGCAGCGGCAACAATCACGCTGCTCCATTTCACAGGTTGTACGTGGGTAACATTCATTTCAGCATCACTGAAAGTGACCTCCAGAACGTCTTTGAGCCCTTTGGCGAACTCGAATTTGTCCAGCTGCAAAAGGACGAGACTGGTCGCAGCAGGGGTTATGGATTCGTGCAGTAAGTTCTACCCCTACTTCTTTACTCATATTGTCAGTAACTGTTGCTTACACCGTGTATAGGTTCCGTGATCCTAACCAGGCTCGTGAGGCATTGGAAAAGATGAATGGATTTGACCTTGCTGGTCGAGCAATCCGCGTTGGCCTTGGCAACGATAAGTTCACTCCTGACTCGAACGCACAACGCATGCAGAGCCAAGGTGCAAACCAACATAACTTCCAGGGCTCTCTTTTCTCGGGTCACGGAGGACGTGGTGTTCAAGCCGGCGGTACCAGCAACTTCGACCGCGCTGGTGGTCGTGACTCCGAAAAGGGGGCCGGTGCTAGTGCATTGGACGATACAGATGTTGCCGGTGTAAATTTCAACAACTACAGTAGGGATGCATTGATGCGCAAGCTTGCAAGAACAGATGAACCAGCCGAGCCTGCTGCCGATGACCAGCAAAAGGTGCTCCGTCCCAAGACTGAGGCCAAGCCTCTGCCTGTTAACGTCAACATGGCAAGTCGGTGTGTCATGCTCCGCAACATGTTCGACCCCAACGAGTAAGTTGTCCTGTCATAGCTTTCTTGATCGGTATCTGGAAGCTAACAATATCACAGGGAGGAGGGCGAAGCTTGGATTAAGGAGCTGGAGGATGACGTTCGCGCTGAGTGCGAAGACAAATATGGCCATGTTGTTCACATTGCACTAGATCCCAACTCGCAAGGCGATATCTACCTGAAGTTCGACCGCGTCCAGGGTGGCGAGAACGCCATCAAGGGCCTGAACGGGCGTTTCTTTGGTGGTCGACAGATCACCGCCCAGCCCGTCGTCGACGCTGTCTACAGCAGTCTGTTCTCCCGAACCAAAGCGATCTGAAGTATATGACATCGGCCCGTGCCTACCATGACCACATACGGGTAGGTATTACATCTAATTTGTCTCTCTTACCAGGTGCAATCTGTGACGGCCGGACCACACTTTGGCCTTTGAACTGTTGAGCGGTTGCTTCGGCATGGTGCTTGGCTTGGATGACACTGCCCCTGGTAGGTGCCAGTCTTCTTGACATCTTACCCTTTATGGTTGTCTATCAGGCCGAGAGCCTCGTGGAATGATCTTGTCTATAGGGATTTGTACATTGCGTTAGCGCCAAATAGTTTTTTTCGTAACCTTGTTAATTGACAATTGTCAGTCATGAAAAGATTGTTGTAATTTCAAGCCTACTGATCACTTCATCATTGAGTTCTTCACTGAAGTACTGCCAGTGTTTTGTAGATGCCACCATACATTTCCCGTTGCTCCCCTTTCTCAAGTATGAGTGTAACACCGTATAACAGGGACACTGGTTGATACTACGACACTGCCTGCAGGTCCACATTGTATACTTCGCGTGTGAACTGATCTACGCAGTACTATACATACAAACCCCGACTGTACCTGATATATATCCATACTAGTCTGCTGATCCAGCCCCTAACCATATCGCTTACTCAGTTGATGAAACAGAACACATCATCTTTCTTACTCCGTCTTCGTATCCAGCTTACAGGGCATACATCCTCTGACTCTTCTCATGCGCCTGCTTACGTACGGACATTAGCTACAGCATTGATTAATTCAGGTCAATTAACAGCTCAACTACGCGACCATGGCCAGCCACAATCATTTCATCAATGTGAAGAACCCAAATTTGACAGATAAGAATTATCGGATCAGACCGGGTAGTTCTCCGACTAATTGACGTGATGTGTTTATTCGGAGACCCAACTGGTAGCATCACATATACGTGTATGGCTGCCGTCTTGCTGCTGCCACGTTTTCCTGCTTACTGGAGAGTTTCTGACCGCTATGATAGACTCAAAACGGTAGCTAAGCAAATATTTTCCTGTAACTTTGATCCAATTGCTCTTGCGAGTAAATAGATAGCTTAGTAGGAATCTCAATGTGTGTTTTGTTGTCAAGATGTGCAGTCGATGGACCTGGGATTGATGTAGTGAGACATTGATCGAGAGCGCATACGGTGGATGTTCTCATCCTATTCCAGGGATCTGTTTGTTTTTCTTGAAGAAGTGATGAGACGGTCTAGAATACCGCAAGTGAGATTTTTTGTTCTCTTCCAGTCTGCTGCTCCAATGATGTAGTCGAATAGACGGAGACAAGACTCAAGCGTTGATTACTGATGAGAGGAAAGGGGGAGAAGTTGGAGAGTTCCACTATTTCCATCCTTTAGCAACTGACAAGGTACCGAGTCTGTTGCCTGAAGTATAAGCCACAGGGTGCAGCAAACATTGCAGTTGAATTGCTGCGAGGGAGGGAGAGACAAAACAAGTAGCAGTGGAAGTACTAAGTAGTAGTAGAAGTAGTAAGAAGAAGTGCCGTTGTGTTTCTCCGCCGCGCTGATTGCTCGGCCCGCAAAATCAGCAGCCCCCGCGGATTTCCGATAAAAGGCAAAGAACCTTCTTCCTGCTTCGTGTCCGGCACCTCCCTTTGTGTGCTCGTGTTTTTCTACTTTGCTCTCCCAGACTTTTTTCCATAGACATCATCCTACCAATGCTTCGGCCTTCATGATTGGGTCTCCCGCCAAGCGAGTCTCCGTCCAGGCCCGGACCCTGGCTGACAGTTATCGTGAGTTCGCCTCCTCCCCCAGATTTCTCTTATCTCCGCGCCTTTCTTGCGCCCAGCCAGATCGGCCTGGAGTTGCATGGTCGTCCTGCATTCGCGTCTCACCATCCCCCCTGGCTAACCTCCTCTTGTCTTCTCTCTAGTCTATATTATCTGGTCTCGGCATCGTCGTTACTCGACCAAGTATATTGTTCCTGACGATATCCGCCCCACCAGGCGTCGCGAGTTCCACGACTATTTCGTCACTCATCTGCCCTCGTCCTCGCTACATCCGGATCCCCGAGGTCCTTTGGCCCCCTTCCACAAACTCCCTCGTGCAGAGTCGGTCCCCCATACGGGCGAGATCTCGCATTCTCCGGCCGCATTCCAGCCCCTTGTCGACCGGGACACCACTGTCGTTCGCATCCCACTGCGGAGTGCCAAACACCACTTTGGTGCACACAGCTTACGAGGCACCCGGCCCTACAATGAAGATGCCTACCAGGCTGGTGTCATCGATATACCCGCCTTTGCGAAGCGTCCACCGGCCTCTTTGACGATCAAGAAGACTGGCACCATCCCTGTCCCCAGAGAGAGCCGCGGGGCCGACACCGCGAGCGGGGATCCGCAGGTCTTCTATTTCGGCGTCTTTGACGGCCATGGCGGAACGGAGTGCAGTACTTTCCTGAAGGACTGGCTTCATGAATATATTCAGGATACCGCGGCCGCTTTTGAATTACAGTCGAGTCTCCGACAAGGGTCAAGCGGCCAGTTCCCGCGGGGCGCGGATCCCTCATCCGGAGCGTTGCCAATAGTACAAGGCGGTAACTCTAAGCGTATCGGAGAATTAGAGAAGATCCTTGTGCAGAACTGGAAGACATTGGTTGGCGGCTATTTCAAGAGATTCGTTCCACCTCACTTCACACATGCCGGAAAACAAAACTCGACGAGCGATGTGGATTCTGGCATGGGAGTCACCATCGAAGAGATCTTGGAGTATGCCTTTCTCCGGACTGATCTGGAGTTCGTCTCGGCGCAAGCGGCCAAAAGAGACGATGAATTTACCAAGGTCGGTCAGCCAATGCATCAGGATGATATCCTGTATGGCCCAAGCCGCTCCCGATCGTTGAACATTGGCGGGGTCAATCGCTTCAAGGGAGGCAGCACGGCCAGTATTGCGCTCATCTCAACTCCGACGCCCGCTCCATTTTGGCACCCCAATGCTCCATCTAGCCTGCTTGTATCGCATGTCGGAGATACCCGGATCCTCTTGTGTTCCACTTTGACCGGCCAAGCCATCCCGGTCACGTCCAACCATCACCCTTCGTCGCCTATTGAAGCTTCCCGGTTACGACGGTACGCTACCACGTTTGTGACAGACTCCTTTGGAGAAGAGCGGATGAGCGGGCTTGCCAACACTCGATCTTTTGGAGACGTCCAGTCCAAGCGCATCGGTGTCTCGGCAGAGCCAGAGATCCGTCGCATCGAGATGGGCCCAGCCGAGTACTCATTCTTGGTACTCATGTCGGACGGAGTCAGCGGCACGCTCCTAGACCAAGAGGTCGTCGACATCGTCAAGGAAGCCAAGACCCCCGACCAGGGTGCTTCCGACGTGGTCAAATTTGCGACGGAGGTGACCCGTGAAGGAGACAATGCCACCTGCCTGGTAGTCCGATTAGGCGGGTGGGAGCGACGGCTAGAGGGAGGACTGGGCAGCTTGGGGACAAAGGAGTCTCGAGAGTGGCGTCGGCAAGAAGCGACAGATCCGCGCAGGTCACGGAGATGATAATGAAGATTTTTTTTTTAACATTTGATAGAGAATATGCCTGTTTGTATATAGCTTATTTCTTCTGCTGCTCGTTTGGTTCGTGCTGCTCGAGAGAGCTTTGCATAGTTTACATCTGTACATACTCAGTCCTTGACAACTAATTTCTTTTGTTTTGTCTACACGCCACTACTTTAGAACGGGGGTTTGAGTAATGAATTAGTTGCAGGTTGAAATCTGATTGATGTATGGGAAGGGTCGATCAGGGTCCACGGGCAACTCTTGGTCGGGACCGGCCCGGAAGAGGATGTAAGGCTGGCCGCAAACAGAGAACAGCTTCTCCTGACCACCCGTCTCTCTAAATCTGTCTCTCATCATTACTTGGCTCCTCTTGGAACTCGTTGTCGCACATTGATACTTAGTTTCAGTGATCAACTGTCTTGATCAGTGCAATCGCACCACTTCTCGGATTGCGGCGGATGAATTAAGGTGACCGCATCGTGAGTGGCTCCTGCTTATCACCCCCCAACCTTATCGCCAAACCTCACACATGGCCATTTTCCTCTCCTGACCAACGTGGACAGACTGCCCTTCCACGCGCTGTTAAGATAGTTACACCTTCCTTTCTGTTGTGCTCTCTGTACAGTGACATTAATCTCTGTTGTGGACTTGAATCCTGTGATCTTTGGCTTCTGCCACAGGCGCGTCGCAAAAAAAAGCAGAAGGTACGTGTTCCACAAAGCTTTCAGGAGAATCTCCGGCGCCGTCGTCTTCTCTCACCCCATCTGAACTTGCCTTGACCTCGTGGTCCATGTCTAGTGAGACACTGTAAGACGTGCTAACGTTACTGTCTCCATCTCTCTAGCCTTCTTACCCGACTGAGTTTTGCTGCTCCGATTGACTCGAAGCTTGCTTCGGACACGGTCCACTCGCCGTCCTCGTGGAACCCCTCGGATAGAGCTTCTCCTTCTTCCGTCAACTCCCCGTCGCCCAGGCGTTTTTTTCCTCCGGAACCTCCTACAAACTACTTCTACTTCCGTTTCAGCATTCATATTATTTTCGCCACGATGGGCCCCCGTACTAGATCACAGAAAGCCGCCGCTGGGCTGGAGGCAACCGACCCATCGCCGGCCGTTAACGGGACCTTGCAGGAGTCGCCAAAGAACGGTGCAGCAGTCACTGCTGATGGTGATGTGGAGGAAAACGTGTTTCTTTTTGCCCCGAACTTGATCGGTAAGAGCTCAGCGACCCTATTGCAGTCTGACAACACCTAACTTGGATGGGATTAGGATATGCGCGTGTTGTGTTGACGATGGCCTCCCTCTACTATATGCCTCTGCACCCGCGGACGTGCTCCCTCCTTTACAGCGTGTCGTGTCTGTTGGATGCTTTGGATGGATATGCGGCGCGCTACTATAACCAGTCTACCACATTTGGTGCGGTGCTGGACATGGTGACGGATCGGTGCACGACCGCGTGTCTGCTGGTTTTCCTGAGCTCCGCCTGGCCACGT